ATAAAAATCAAAGAAAAACATTTTGTATGAAACTAAAACTAAAAAATAAAATAAATAAAAATTCTGGAAGTTTCATAAATATTGAATTTCAAAAGAAACGTAATTTTATTATTTTAAATTTTGTTATTTCAAATCCTAATGTACTGTTAAATTCTTTGTTAATATCATCGTTTATTTTAACATGTTCATTCATTATTGTTATTTATTCATGATTCTAATATGACTAATTTACATGGGTCGAAGCAGACCCAAAGTGATGAAGGGTTCATAAAGCATACAAAAAAAAATTCTCAATTATACAATATCGTATTCGCGATAACGTTTACGTAATTCCTCTCGTCTGCATCGAATTTCCCGAAGCAAATAATTCGCCCGAATACGTTTGCAGACTTTGAATCACCGAATCTAAAAATTTAATGCGCCCGGGGATCTTGTTCCGCTAGGCGCATGTGACTAGGAGTTAAAAAGAAAAGTATAAACTAACACAGAGTTTAAGACCGCGCAGAATAAATAGTGGGAGCCCATAAAACTCGCACGAAACAGTGTTCGCTTTACGAGTCCATTTCTAAGCCATTGTCACGCATAAAACATCAGGGTTTGTTCAACCTGCCTAGACGGAAGTGACGTCGCGGCAACGTGGGGCGACACGGCTCGTTGAACCGGCCGAGCCGCGCGGAAATAACTCACGTACGAGAATCGTCACGTCCCGTAGTAACACGATGGAACGGAAATGCAGATACGCACGACGAGTATAAGTGGCGGATCTTCGATAATCGCGCGCGAAACGTACGTTCCTGACTCCTTCGACGCGCTGGACTCCGGTGTCCTTGAGGATAAGGTTCCCTCCGGATCGCTCAAGACAACAGGGTGTATTCGAGGCACGTGCGTCATCCGCCATATAAGACCTGCTGCTGCTCGAGGTTTCCAACTATTTACCTCGAGGAATATGAAAGTGTTTTTAACCCTTTTGAGAACCATAAAATACTTTGAGAACGTTCGCACTTCGATGGCAAAATAAGGTTCGAATTCATTGCTTGCGCCATTTTTTGCAAAAAAAAATGCAAGGAACGTGATTCTGATTAAAATTTAATTTCCTACAAATAGCACAGACGGCGCAGCGAGGGAGGCTCGCTTGGGAAATCCATGAATTTTATTTGCCGTTCTATATTCATCGTGTTTCAACGCGTCGTCTTCGTTCCTCAAAGGATCCGTAAACCTGGAAGTTATCGTTCGTGACAGAACTCGAAGCTTGACGTCATCGGTCCATTTTATTTCCGTCCTCGAACCATCGCGAAATTCGTCGGGATGCAACGACGAAGAACCGTGGCTCGTACTTCCATGGTTGATTGAATGCACACCCCGGTAGACGTCGGGATACGCATCAAAAATTTGAAATATCTATTCTGGTCGGGACAGAATTTATTCTCGACGGATATCCCATTTCTGCAATGCCGTGTATTTTTAAACCGTGGCCCACATCCGAGGCCGATGATCATTTCTTCGCATAATCGGATGGCTTCGCCGCCTTGTGACGCCCGACGAACGAGGAAAAAAAACCCGCTCGTTTTCTGCGCTATGAAGGTCCTCGAGACCGCTTTGCATGTCATTTCGCACCGTTCCTTTCCCTCGAACATTCCCGGTAACTCTGTTTAACGATCGCCGCGTTCGTCGTCGTTTTACGATTAAAATTTATCGCCGCGATAACGGCCAAAAGAACGAAAAAAAAAAAAACAGAATTATACAACCCGGAGCTCTTAACGTGGACGTTGATTCCGTGAACGTGTACGTCCAATCATCCGTATGGATCATTGGGGTTCAAAATTTCGATACCACGGTTCCTAGGCTCGCGAAGGTACGCTGAGAATCGTCAGACATCAATTTTGTTGAAACTTTCAAAGTTAAAGTATCAATTTTTCCTCGTCTCTTCATCTTTGAGATTAACAAAAATAGAACAATATCCCTAATTCTGGCTATAAAGACATATCTCCTGGAAGATTCATTATAAATTTCAAGTCAATCGGTGTATTACAACTCGAGATATCGTGTCAACTAGTTTCGAAAATATAGTTTCGAGGAAATCATTATTGAATGCTGAGAATTTTTCCTCCCCAATTGGTTGTAATTTATTTTTACGAATTCCGTCAAATGGCTTTGTAAATATGTTTTCAAGGTTCCAAACTTTGGAAAAGTACTAGAAGGAAATGAATTTTGATGTGTATTAGACCCCCTTAAGGTTGCTTGGGAACTAGGAAACAAGCTGTGTTGGACAATTGAATTTTGAATTCGTTCGCATAGCGGAACAGTTTCCATTATGTCCTCATGCTTTGGCTCGAAACGGAACGGCAAAAATGGCGGGACGAGATGGTTAGGTCGTGATGCTCGCTTCCTGGACGGCAAGCGCGAAGAGTTCTGCCGGTGCCACCGATGGAAACCGTGCGAAGCGATGCGAGGTGAAACCCGGTCCATTGTCATGTGCCGAGGATCACGTAAGGTCACACACTCTCCTGACTCGCTCGCAGCCCTGGTGTGTCCTACGTGGAAACAACAAAGGTGTCAAGTTTCGTAACGAGCGACAGTGTCGGTCTTATTGTTAGGGAACGAACTGGCTTGCCCACGATCATCAAAGGAAGAGCATCTCGGTTTAATCGTCTATAACGTTCCATCGATTCCTTTGAAACATCGGATCCTATCAAACTGATGCACCGTTTCTCTGTCATTAATGAGACACGTAATCGTAATTACGAGCGAAGACCAGAAGTACGAGATTCGTGTCAATTTAACGAAAGGAAGTACACGTTTCAAACCGACAGGTTTAAGATGGATTTATCAGTGACGTCGCGTCTTTAGCCATGTGCTCCACACTTAGAAATAATAGTAATTATTTAATCTTGTTTCCTAATTACAAGCATCTTTGTATTTAAACGAGATTAATATCTATACCTTATTCCTCAAACGTAAATTTACTGACTATTTGTAAACACTTTCGTAATATCGTATGAATCATGTCAGCTTGTTGTCTGGATGAGAGTAGTAGATGTCTGACTTTTCTCGTCCAGTTCTGCACCATATAATATGTGTTACTTGTCATACTTAAAGCGTAACTAAAGAACGCACCACTCACGAGCATAATTTATTAACATAAACGTTTAGACTCGACGAATGTATCCTTTTCAGTATGATTTATAGAAAAAGAGATCTGTAATAGTCCCCGTTTGAAGTAACCGTGACAGAGAGATATGCGTTTAACGTACGATCTTGCTGATTGCAACGTTGATTTAGCAAGACACCTGAGCTGTTTGTCATTCAACGTCTACAGCCGTCGATCATGATCCGAATACGAATAGTACGATTCTAATTTTTTCAATACAATTCTGTGATGCATTCGTAGCAAGTATGTGCAGATTACGTAAATCTAGAAATGACAAATGTGCATTTAATGTATGATCTTGTGATTTCAACGTTGTTTTGACACAGCACTTGTATGCGGGGGGTTTCCTAATAAATGCTTGTCAGATGTTGCGCGAAACTTGTATTTTTAATCGTATCTGCCAAAATGATTCAAACTTGAATGATTGCGAAAATGGAAAACGTGGAAGCTATTGTGTTTTACCACATATAAATGGTGCAGGGACTTAATCATGCTAACTCTCTTCACAGAGCTATTAAAAGCTTTTCTAACGAAAATTGTACACATTCTATATTATTTACTAATGAAACTAAGTTTGGCAAAAATATATCTATTTATTAATAAAAAATTTTGAATAGCGAATATTAAAGAGAGAACACTGTACGTGGTTTATCTGTGACAGTGTCATACCTTCTTCTAGTCATCTGACAACATAATTTTTGAACAAATATACAGAACGTAGACGTGTAGGTGTCATACAACCAATGAATATAGCACGACAGATAAAATTAAACATATTGAAGTGTCTATAATCCAATACAACAGGGAATTATCGAATGCAGGAAATGGATCATGTGTCGTTTAGAAATTTTTATCGAAGTTTAGGCAAATACTCAACTTATGGCGAGAAAAGAAGTAATAGTTGTAGGAGCATTAACATTGTCGATAAGACTTGTCAAGAATTCGAATAATCAATTGATTCATTGTTGATTCGAAATATCAAATGAAAGGGCTACGAAAATCAAAGCGTTTGGTACAAGTATTGCTGGTGGACTCGTCGATTAGGCTAACCTAGCAAATCTTGCCTTAGACTAAATTTCTAATGACCTTGGCCGAGAACAAATAAAGAATAAATATTTATTCGAATCTACCTTTGAAGACATAGCCACGTTTCGATATATCTTGTATATTTGCTTTTAAACATGCAAACATATCGTTCTTAAAAACTCTATTTTCGTCGAAGAAATTGGTAGCATTCTCGATTCTTTCTCTCTCATGAATAGTCGGAAGATATATCTAAGCTCATAAGCTTAGCTCCTAGGTAAAAGCAGCTAGCACAAAACACTTGTTATAATTAATTACAATGTACGATAGTGTTCTCGATAGTGGTTCTTAATTTGTCGCTATATCAAACACAAATTGATTATCAACCGATGCCACCGTCTGCCGCTAAACATTCTCTACGAGTCGTTAATCTCCCGAAACGTTTCTCCGCGCTCTCGAGCGAACGGCCGCCATTGCATCATGAGTCACGTTCCTCGGATCGCATCATTAACTCGTTGTAATCAACCAGAGAGAAGACTCGTTCGGTAATCGGGTTAAAATAATCGTTCGAGGAATCCTAGATTGTGCGTGTAAACCGAAATTTATCGGTCCGGATAGGGCACTTTTAATCAGTTTCAAACAAACGACGGTGTCATTTGTTATTGACCGCGAGACGTTCCGAAGGAACGTTTACTTATGACCGTACGCTTGTTACTTATGCAAACGAGCCGCACGATTAAGGTCGGGCTCGTAACTTTCCATTTAATTAAGGGCATGCTGAGAATCGTTCACGGGCGCTCGTCTGACTCAACATTATTGACTGTTGCAGGGTGGCGGTGATGATTCGGACGAAGACACTCAGTGCGCCCTGAGTGAGAATTGGACCTTCGAGAAGAAAACCAGACGCTGGTCGCGCGTGTGCGACGTGACGCAAGCGAACGTCGAGAGGCTGCAGGCGATCGCCGGCCAGAACGCGCAGTCCGAAGAGGACTCGTTGGAAGATCGTCTGGAGGCCGACGAGGCTGAGGACACGATGTTGGACACGCTCAAATACAGCAGTTTACCGCCCGGCTCGCTACCCGACGAAATCAATCCCAGATTTCGGAGAACCGGCTCCGAAAGGTGGAAGGACGGAGCCAAAGCGTTCCTCAGGCGAGTCGAGTCGCTCAAGTCCCGACGACGCAAGCGTCAGAACCGCGACGAGATCGTCATCAGCGGACCGCAGATCTTGAACGAGATGTCGATGAAACAAAAAATGAAGGAACTGAATTGCGTGGATGTGTCACCGACGGGTCTAGCGCCGATGTCTTTCAACGATCTTCCGGGATCGCCGCTTCACATCCCGGGATCGCCAGTCACGTTACCAGCTTCGCCTTATCACCTTCCACCCTCGCCGCTGGCCAACGCGCCCAGCCCGTTCGGCGACGATTCCTCGAGTTATTGCTCGGACGGCTCGCAAGGAGGTGGCCCGACGCCTACGCCGACGCGCACGAAGATGAATCGGGCGCGAAGGTTCCTGCACCGCGGCCGCGAGGATCAAGGCGCGCTCAGCGACTCCGAGTGCCAGCCTACCAGTTGGCGTCACAGGTACTTCAGAGACGCCAACAGCAATCATGCCAAGGTGCTGGAGTACGTGACCGCCCATCCCCAGAGCCCGAAGGACTCGCCGTCCAAAACCGCTCCCATAAATACTCGCGGCGGAAGCCTGAATCTTGGCAAGGAGTCGCAAAGGTACAGGGACAAGTTGTCGCAGGGCCAGGACAGGTACAAGGAGGACAAGGTGGCCGCGTTGAAGAGGGAGGACAAAATGCACAAAAGCTTCAGGCATCGCGACGACTCGTACAGGGAAGGCAAACCTCTGTCCAAGGTTACCGTTTACAGAGACAAATCAAGGTCCAGGAGTTCCGAGCTCGCTGGAAGCCAAGAGAGCAGTTCTACGGTAGCCAGTCGCGATTCGGATCAGGAGGAGGATTCTCCGAGGCATAAGGGCACCGTTGTCAGGTGGCACAGTTTCCAGAGAGGATCTTTGTACCCGGATCCTTTGGATCCTCTGTGTCCTCGAGCTATGGCCTCAATGTCCTGCGGACAGCTCTTAGTACTGAGGAAATTGGCTTTGTTAAAATTGACCGCCTGCATGGAACGATACTGTCCGACTCATCGTACAGGGTGGAACTGGGAACTGCCAAAGTTCATCAGAAAAATAAAGACTCCCGACTACAAGGATAAAACCGTGTTCGGGGTACCGTTGCTGCTATCCTTGCAGAGAACAGGACAAGCCTTACCAAAGTGTATTCAAATTGCTCTGAGATGGTTGAGGGCTAACGCTCTCGATCAAGTCGGGATCTTCAGAAAGAGCGGGGTTAGATCGAGGATACAGAAGTTGAAGATGATGACGGAAACGCAGGGGGATAACATTAATTTCGACGGACAGCAGGCCTTCGACGTGGCCGATCTCGTGAAACAGTACTTCAGGGAGTTGCCAGAGGCTTTATTGACGAACAAGCTATCCGAGACCTTCATCGCTATCTTCCAACGTAAGTATATCCTACGCTCTTCTAAAGAAATTATGACTAGAAAATCATTGATTTACCACCGATTCGATGAGAAAGCGGACAGACGTAATCTGTAAGTGTTTACGATTGTTACAGATGTACCTGTTGAATTGCGACCAGACGCCGTGCAGTGCGTCCTCTTGCTTCTGCCGGACGAGCATCGCGAGGCGTTGGAAACTCTGCTCGATTTCTTGAACCACGTAGCGAGCAACGCTCTATACAACCAAATGACAGCCTCGAACCTGGCCGTGTGCCTGGCACCGAGCCTGTTCCACTTCAACCACAGCAACACGAACGTGACCAACAGGTCGAGCAGCGTATCGCCACGTAGGAGAAAGACCGTGGGCATTCCCGATCAGAGGGAACTGTCGGAAAACAAAGCCGCTCACGACTGTCTTCTGTATCTGGTCAAGATGCATCGTGAATTATTCATGGTGAGTGCCTCGATGCCGAACGTTCAGGTCGTTCGAGAGGAGCGTCATCCGACGTCTCGAACCGCCGATTGTGATCGCGCTCGAATCCGATATATTCGAACACGTTCTCACGAATCGGAAGGGAACACGGGTAATCGTATTCGTTTCTGTTCGCTGTATCAGGTCTCCTCGGATATGTTGACGCAGTGTCATTTCAATTACATGGAAGAAAGCGTCCCGGTCGCCTTGGAGGAGCTGGGATCGGAGCTCAAGCAAGACTGGAGGGGATACCTTTATGCTTGCACTACGGCCCTCTTGAAGGAGGCGCGTGAAAAGTGAGTGCTGTTTTAAAGCCTTGCGAATCCTCACGATTTTCTCGAGTATTAATTTCAAAGTTGATCCGATAATCGTTATTGGTAGTTTCCATGGTATTCTAATTGCTGTCTTGACTTTTCCCATAGAAGTCGAGGATGGGACACTGTCAATAATCCTGCTGACAGTACGGTGGAAATGGCTTACAAGAAGGTCGGTGATAGTCATCCGCTTCGACTATGGCGAGTGTCGACCGAGGTGGAGGCTCCGCCGAACGAGCTTCTTCATCGTGTTCTGAGAGAGAGACACATTTGGGATCCTCAGCTTCTAAAGTACAGACTGGTTGCCAAGCTAGACACCAACGCGGAGGTCTTTCAATATGCCACCGGGAACATGAGTCCTCTTCCCGCCAGGGATTATTGTGTGCTAAGGTGAGTCATCGATTCACTTACGGCACGTTCCACTCCATGGACGTAATATTGCTTTGCATAGAAATTCTATCAAAAATGAAAGGAAATGAATTATGTGATCTTGCATTGTATAGATCCTGGCGTAATGATCTCCCCAAAGGGGCCTGCGTCATCGTAGAAACGTCCGTAGAACATCCGGATGCTCCTGTCATGCTTGGTGGAACACGTGGTATTGTTTTGGCCTCGCGCTATCTCATCGAACCTTGCGGTAGTGGTAAATCACGGATCATGCATCTTTCCAGAGTGGATACAAAGTAAGTATCCTTCGGGCTTTATGAAATCAAATATACAATCTAAATAAACGAAGTAAATATTTTAGTCGCTCGTTAAAATAAATTCGGTCGTTGAATGTTTCTTCAATTATTCGATTGGCCGACGACAAAAAATAGTAACGTCATATTTAAACAGATATACTTTAATATTTATTAATTTGTTACTCCGTTACGGTTACAGAGGACGCACTCCAGAGTGGTACAAGAAAAGCTACGGCCATCTCGCCGCCCTTCACCTTAGCAAAATTCGCAACTCTTTCAAACACACAACCGATGGTCCAGAAAGCAAAGTCTGAGACGAGGCAACCGTGCAGCGATCTCCGTTGCACGGTCCTTACACAACTCTACAAGAACAAGATGACCAACATCAGGAGCTGAGGATTCTAAAAGAACTGCGACAAGTTGAGCCTACCATCGATGAGGAATAAACGAAAATTGAAAATTCTGCGTCTAGAGTATATTAGAAGAAATTAGAAATCCGTAGGAGACGCGACTCGTTATCGAAAATGAACACCGTCGTGTGTATCTCGCGTTGATTCAACCGATATTCCGGAAAGAATATTAATTATCAATAACGTGCACGCGCTTAAATCGATGTGAAGCAATTTCTGTTGAAGCCTGAGATGTTTAGCGTAGACGTTGAATCGTTGTCAACCTTAAAAGGGGAAACAGTTTATTGTTATCGTAATTATAGACGAAAATTCTCTATGTGAAGCTTCATTGTCCAAGGATCTTGCCGTCCAGTGATCGCGAAAGTCGTTGAAGGCAGGACACCAATTAAAAAAAAAAAAAGAAAATATACGACGAGAGCTAGTACGTGTTTTTTCGTGTACGATAGGGTAACGCGTTATTTCTGCGATACCAGTAGTCCGATGTTATTGTTATCAGCAGTTCCAGAAGTGATATTTGTTATCGGTAACGAGCAGAGAATCACTGTATCGCGCAGTGTTTTCGTCGATTTAGCATTTAGCTAAAAGCTACGACGATCGTGCGTCGAATAGATAATATATTCGATCGTAGTCGCTAATAAAATACGTTGCAGTATGTGTATTCCGCGTCGCACGATATTTTAATCTTACCAAAAGAACGAAAGGAATGGAAAGAAGCCGCGCACAATATTAATAACTTCGCACCGTTTAGCACCTAAGAGCCCGTATTTTGTATGTTTCTTTCGGACCAAATGCCAATTTTTCTATTGTATCATATCGCGCCGTTCATATCGTGTCGAGAGATGGTTATTTTAGACCGATTATTTTGTAAATGTCACGATTTAGACGAGCGACCGTGTAAAGAGTATCCGTAATATGTTGTATGTACGTGTATCTATTTATAAAAGAAATTCCGACGGCGACGGAACGCGTTTACAGCGTTCGTTGTCGGCTTCGAATGCATGTTCTGATCGTCGTAATTTGGAGCAACCCGGTCCCCCCTCCCTCCCCCAATCTCGCGATTAACCCGATTAATCGAGCAATGCGAAAGGATTTTGAGTAAACGTGTAAGTTTTCGAGTCTGAGCGCCACCCGAACGGGCGCGCGACGCGAACTCGTTAATTAAGCAATCGTCGTTGTCACTCGTATCGATGTCGAAGCGTTGTAGCTGTCATAGAGTCTATCGTTAATTGTCTGTCTGAAAATTGTACGTGTCTGCCGAGCCGGTGGTTCGCGGAACTATTTTTTAACCGGTTTCTCGGTCAGTCGAGCATTTAGAAAGATCGTCGTTTGAGATAATTCGTGACGCAACTTCGCGCATAGGGACCACCTTCGTTTGGACCCCAAAATCAGGAAACGACCTGGAGAAATAATACACCTCATCGAATCGAATTATAAATGTATTTTAACATAATACTAGTCACTTACAGTTAGATGAAATTATGGAAATACGATATAAGTGTATAGATTTTTATTCTACAAACGTTATGCCGAAAATATTTAATTATTATTATAGAACTAAAGTAACTCTATGGGAAATATATGATATTTTTGTGTCCAAAAAACGCCAGTAGGAACACGAGAATGCGTGCGTGCGTGAGAGAGAAAGAGACCGCGTTTGAATGTTTCACCGTTATTTGTAACGACATATGATCGTCTTTATTCTTGTAATCCGTGTTTCACTAGAATGTAAATATGTATATTATACAATAATGAAACACAATTATATACTCATTAAACGACATCGTTTTATTTTTCGACGTTTAATTCTACTTTTAAAATTTACCGGAGGTATCCCCATGTGTTTAAAATTATGCAACGTTTGATGCAGTTACGCGTCTTAGCACGTTTCGTGTTGTTTAATCGATAGCTCAAGTTGCTAGGTATAGTTTACCGGAGCTTTCTGTCAGTTTGCATCGTGGCGGTTTTGTCATTATTCGATCAGTTCGTCGAAATTACGTCGCTGTTTCGCTCACAAGTGTATTCGTTCTGCAACTAGCACGTGCCCACTACTCTATCAATCTTCAGTATCAAGTAAATCAACTTTTAATAAAATAAAGTAATGCGCGTCACAACTTTTTGAACGTCGGAGTTTACGAAATCGGCTAGTGATTTGTTCGATTAACTCGAAACATTAAATTCTGTAAATATGGTAACCTCGTCCGTAACTGAATTTACATAATTACGAAGCCAAATGTGTGTTTACAATTAAAACCCTCGCGATCTACCACGCGATAAACTGCTAACAGGTCCGATATTTTCATTACGTCGTGTTAGGTTGCAACGAATCTAAAAAGATTAATGGTGAAGTATAACCTTGCTTCTATAAAATTCGTAAGTCATTCACAGTAATTCACAGTCGATCGTTAGACTCTAAATTAACTTTATAATTTACCCATTTCTTTTACAAGAAAAGTCAAAGATAAAAGTAAACAACTTCTGTAAGAATACTACTTTTCGCTGCACGCGCGATACCGAGCCGGCGCCATTTTGACCGTAAGACCGCAAGGGATGAATTCCGTAGTAAAATTGATGGAATTTCGTTTAGAAACGGTGATAGCGTATTGTACCGTGCGAAAAATGTCGGCTCTTCTCGAAAGCTACGTCGAAAGGCAAATTAATGCAGGCTAATAAAAGCACGGACCGTTTCACGGCGTCGTTTTGTTTAAAGGTTCCGAGAAAATGGTTCGACTTCACGTGAAGAAAGGCGAGGAGAGCCAGTTTCTGTACGACACACACGTGGAGGCTCGGGTTGAAGATGTTATATATGACATTACTATTATTTACAACGGCCGGTTGAAGATTTCCAGAATATGTTATGGTAATGATCTCTCCCCACTGTCCCACGGCTGAGAAAGTACTTCGGAAAGATGACATCTAATAGCGTGCAAAGAAACGCCAGGTTGTCTGGAAAGTTGCACTTTATTTACGCACAGTCGGGCCGCGTGATCGTAAGTTAAGTGGCATGAGTTGTCTCAAGGTAACGGCGCGCAACGCATTATTACCGTTTTCTGTTCGTTTTTATTTCGCCGTATATAACGGCCCCATGCGAACCGAACGTGTACGATTTTATCGAGCACTACCTGCAGGCTCTTTGAATGCCAATGATTTTATCGACGATAGCAAGTTACGTATCCCTTCATTTATTCTCGAATTGTGCCATTAATCCGATGGCGTGTTTCAATCCTCCGAGGACCCAAAGTAATCTAGGAAGACTTTATTTATTTATATTTTCTTATTTATTTCCTTGCTTTTTCGCGGTAATGAGATTTCTGTCTCGATCTAGTTTGACTTTTTGTCACCGACAAGGCTGAACAGCCTGGAAGAAATTCCATTCTCTCTTGGCGTTCTCTCGTTTCGTTAAACGCTCGTAAATCTACTAAAGACAATTATAACGAATGGTTTTCATTCCTACGAAAGTTTAGTTAGGTAAACCTTCCACATTTAATAAAAATTATACTACGATAAATACACTGTCTTCGATCAGCGTCTAAATGACTCATTTTAATCTATAAATGCGAATTATTTGTAAACTACCCACTTGAGATAAAATTAGTATACTTATGCACTTTTTCGAAGATGTCACAGAGGAACGTCAACTTCCATATACAGAGTACGCGATTGCACTTACGGAAGAGTAACGATTTACGATCGATTCGTCCCCTTAATGGAGGAAAAATGTTTCGTCTCCGGCGAAGGGTTAATTACACGCGTTTTCGAAGCAATGAATTAGAACGTCTCACCATGCAACGACGCAACCCCGAGTCGATAGCGTTTCCCCTATTTACAGAGTTCCCTTTCGTGCACCTAAAACGGTCAGGGTTCCTAGTTGGGATATTAACGCGAGAAATCCATTAACGATTATCTCGGAAGAGCCTGAATACCGCGGCTAGTAATGACGGCGCGTAATAAGAAGTCGGGGCTCGGGTTTATGAACCTATCCATCCCGGCAGCTGTATGATATTAGTCATACGTCGCGCATGGATAATAATTACGCCAAGTTTACTCTTAACCAGTGGCCTCCGTATTGGCCGTGTTTCTGCAAAATAGAAATAGAGGAGCTGGCTAAGCACGGCACCATGCTGCCCCAGAACATGATGGGCCTCACCGACGAGCAGGTAGAGGAGCTGAAACTCAAGGACGAGTGGGGCGAGAAATGCGTACCGATGGGTGGATGGACCTTTAACAAGGACGTTATCGGTACGTGGAACTATATTAAGGGATCAGTCTAGCAGTTTCTTATAGAACATAGTGCTCAGAAAGTATCGTATAATTTGTATTCCACGGTTCGAAAAATTTATAATTGTATATAATTCCAAAGCGAAACAGTCGAACGTGCTCTCTTAAGTGAGGCAATTTGATATAATTATTTCTTACCGAAGAATCGAGTCACTATTTTCGCGTTTTCTTAAAAAAACGTAACGTTGAAAATGTATCGTGTAAATTTTAAGGACTACTATTCGGATCTGGCACTATTAGTTAATCGTAAGTTAAAAGGAAATCCAATAATTCAATGTGAAATACATTATAGAAAAAATAGTTATTTTAATTTTCCCAACTCTGAGACTTCGATCGACTCGCGGAGAACGTTTTTCCCCCCGATTATCGTGAAAGTTTCAATTCGGTATATCTCCTTAAGGATAGCAGTTTCGAACGAACAACGACAAACAGGGAGGGATACGATAACGACGTAGTTTGTTTTATGCGAGTTTACATAGCCGACCTTAGTGCAAATGCAAATGCAACGTAGCCGGGAATAGAGTCCACGATGTCGCCGTGAAATTGGCTCACCGATATTTTTGTTGCTTCGAATGGACTTGTAATCGTTGCATTAATTACCCGCGGCCCGGCTGGAATGTCTCGAGGTTTTCCATGTTTCAGGCCGCAGGAACGGCAGACAGCCTAATGCGAAGATGCGGGAGGTCTTGGACAGAACGATCGGGGAGGCACGAGCTATGGTTTCGAAGGTAATTTCTCCTCTGTTTCACTCGTCCTTTTTGTCTGTTCGAGGATAGATTTCTTCGCTTTTAGAGTGCAGGGTTCGCTAATGTCCCTTCTATCTTTGGCTTTTTCCGTCTGCCCGTAGAAGTTGGTGCAGCAGGATAAACTGGTAACGCAGAAACTTGTGCAAGAAGCACTGGACATACTGAGGGGAGCTGTGACTATCGTTTATCCGATGGGCCTTCCACCGCATGATGTGATTCGTCAGGAATTTGAGAACACCGAGGATCTCAGTGGGACGCAAGCGTCTCTAGAGGTAATACGTATTATACTTTATATTCTACCAAAATAAAAAGGGTATCTACGAAGAGAGATCTTAAAGCCACAAAGTCCTTAGTTTCGATTCTATCTAGGAATCAATCAGCAAACTCATGACGCATACGATGGTCAGTAGGCTTAGATTTTTGTGTTAACTGGATCTTGTAAGAATAAAGACCTAAGTCTTTACGTATAATTTGCCACGCAGAAGTCTAAGAAATGCCTAATTCTTGACAACATCGTGGAATCAATAAATTCTTAGCAATACTATCCCTTAGATTCTCTTCGTTTCATACATTACGTTGAAACGTTGGAATGTGTTATTCAACAACTAAACCGGTAGCTTCGAATTTGTCCACTAAATGACGAACTGTGAGTTGTGTTGGTCGATTCTATTTACCATAAATTGAATGAATTGCATGAAACGTAGTTCGAATCGAACAAGAATTTTGATAATCAATTTTAACAATTTCAACGTGTTGAGCAACTCTTTGTTTATCTTCCCATGATAACTTGTAAAGCACTAGTGAATGCAGATGTCACCTGATTCGAATAATAGAGAAACATATATGGGAGCTATGACAACTGAAGGTAAATGTGAATTTAGATTCCAACTTCCTACCATTAGAATGTTATCAACGGTTGGTAAAATCAATTTTACTATTCCCTCTTAAATACAAGATTTACCATTTCTATGTCACTTCCTACTTTATCGGTTTAAACCGGAATACGACTTCAACGCTCTTAGCGTTCAGAATTAACACTAAATGTTGGTAGAATTTAATGATGCATGTATACAGTGCCCAAATTCTTTAAAAGAAAATAAAGGGCAAATCTACATCAACTTTTAATTGAAATAGATGTTGAATTTGGAATGTGACCAGAGAATTGGTCCAAACTTCAAAAAGTAAAAATTCTGATAAAAATTCACAGTTCAATGTGATTTATAATTTATGAATTCTGTTATTCGTAATTAAAAATGCTATGTATGTATTCTAATCGGATTGACATGAAATTTGAATTTTATGTTTATAGGTAATCGACGTGCAACTGGCGCAACTGTGGTTTTCAGGAAAAGAAATCTTACCAGGAAAGAGATTGAAGGACTATTTAGGGAGAAACGAGAAAACGAAAATTATTGTTAAACTACAAAAAAGAGGAGCTGGAAGACCAGCACGAGAACCATTAATGTCCGAGGAAGAACGAAAGCGACTTATGCTGGACGCTTATAATCGGCAGGAACTTCTTAAGGTAAGTACAAATTTTCTTCTGCCGATAAAGTAGTTACCTTCCTGTAGTAGAAAACCATATCCCAGATGAGATATACAAGTAAATGATACATCAAATGTATTTGTTCGGCCTATTTCATTGGCGCCCAACAGCTTCATTACCAGTTCGGTGTGACTCACAACATTACTAACTTACCATGACAGGAAATAAAATTACCACAATTCTATCCTTCATTAACGGAGTGAA